AAGACTCTCAAGAGTCTTCTCCAACACTGCAGTTCAAAAGCGCTCAGCTTTCTTTATAGTCCAACTCTCACGTCCATACATGACCACTGGAAAAACTGTAGCCTTGACTAGACAGACCTTTGTTGGCAAAGTAATGTCTCTGCTTTTTAATATTCTGTCTAGGTTGGTCATAACTTTCCTTCCAAGGAGTAAGCGTCCTTTAATTTCATGGCTGCAATCACCATCTACAGCGATTTTGGAGCCCAGAAAAATAAAGTCAGCCACTGTGGCCACTGTTTCCCCATCTATTTGCCATGAAGTGATGGGACCAGATGCCATGATCTTAGTTTTCTGAATGTTGAGCTTTAAGCCAACTTTTTCACTCTCCTCTTTCACTTTCATCAAGAGGCTCTTTAGTTCCTCTTCACTTTCTGCCACAAGGGTGGTGTCATCTGATATCTGAGGTTATTGATAGTTCTCCCAGCAATCTTGATTCCAGCTTGTGCTTTCTCCAAACCAGCATTTCTCATGATGTACTCTGCATATAAGTTAAATAAGTAGAGTGACAATATACAGCCTTGACGTACTCCTTTTCCTATTTGGAATCAGTGTGTTGTTCCAAGTCCAGTTCTAACTGTTGCTTCCTGACCTGCATACAGATTTCTCAAGAGGCAGGTCAGGGGGTCTGGTATTCGCATCTCTTTCAGAATTTTCCACAGTTTATTGTGATCCACACAGTCAAAGGCTTTGGCATAGTCAATACAGGTTAAATAAATTATGGTACATCTTTTTTTTTTTTAACTTAGAAACTTCTGTAGTGATGGAAAGAGTGTATTATTTTTAAAATTAAAAGCCAAAGTGAACAATACTAATTTTTAATATTATTCAACTTCAGCATAGAAGAATATGTTGCAGTTTCAACAAAAGCATGTTTTTGGACTATTAAAACATCTTGTTTGGTAATTAAAAATACAAACCTAGAAGCATTGAAATTAGATGTTCTTATTTTTAAAAAGAGAGAGAGCTAAACAGAAATATACAGGTGTACTTGCTAAATTAGTATACCAATAATTCATGGTTGATCACTACAAAGTCTGTGCTTCTTTTCCTTTTAAAAAATTTTGGTAGAGTGTATATTTTCTAGGAAATGAGGAAGCAAGATGCTAGGCAAGGGCTGGTTTTTACTGAAACTTTAAGACTGACTTTGCTATTAGAAGCATCTAAGATCTGAATAGACAAAAGATTTATCTAAGGAGTGACAACAGTGGATACGTGGATTCTGAATAGTAAGTGGATACGGGATTCTGAATCTACATATTGGCCAGGCATCCACTTAGTGGAGGCTCTAAACTGATCATTTATTAATCACTCACCATGTGCCAGGAAGCACTGTGCTTTGTATTCTTAAGACAATTTCTAATTTTACAGTAAGTAATCTAATTTTACAAAATTGCCAAAGGTCATTAGCTAACTAAATGGAAGAGATGAAATTCATAGATTTGTCTCATGCCAAATCCCACCCTCTTTCTGCTATCACACTGTTTTAGGTAGGGTTGGCTAGACTGATTTCTGAGGCTTTTCTTTGAAAAGAACAGTATATCCATTAGGATTGCATTCAATTGCTTGCAACAGACCCAGAGTGCTTTAAAAAAGGAAAGGGATGATTTTTCTCACGAAATAAGCCTGGCACTTGGCAGTCTGCAGTAGGTGCAGCGCCTCCTTTTGCCTTGTGTGTTGTCCTGTGGTCGTAGGACGGTTGCTCACCTTCCAAGCTCACAGCAACCTCACAGCCAGGAGAAAACAGAAGGAGAAAGGTGGTGGTGTCCACTTCAGGAAAGCAAAACCCTTCTCGGGAATCTCTAGATGCCTCCCTCTCCCCCTCACTGACGGGAATCGAGTCGTGTGGCTGGCCTGCAAGGGCTTCTGGGAAGGTGGGCACTTCAGCCCCGCACGTTGCCTTCCGGAAAAAATTCTGAGCTCTCTTAGAAAGGAGAAAAGGGGGAATGGATATTGAGGAGGCAGTAAGCAGTGTCTGCCCCATGGGAAAAAAAAAACCTGACAGATATTGGGGGAGAAACAGCTGCCTCAGAAGTTCTGCTGGGTTGAGTGGATAACAGGGGCCCTGGGCACCACTGTTGGTGTCTTTTGCCGCAAGGGAGGAAGGGAAATGTAGCCTTTGTCCTAAGCATCTCTGGGCTCAGCTTCAATTCTATTATTATGGAAGAAGGAGAGAATGGCTGTTAGGGAACAGGAAAGGGCTCTGCCCCAGTCCCTCCACTGGTCCCTGAAACCCAGTTTCCTTGGGAAAGAGTCTGGTGTGCACAGCCACATGCTCTGGAATCTGTTCTCGACAGGAGGGGATCTGAGGGCAGTTGTTGATACAGGCTTTGGAATGGGGAGACAGCAGTGGGCATCTGGAGATACTTGAGGATGCTGAGAATGTTTGAAGATAATTCAGCCTCTTGGATTAACCCGGAAAGTATCATTAGGAATGCAGGCTATCTCCTGAGGGCCACCTCCTCCCAGCTGTGCCACTAGCAAGACACCTCACCATCCTAGACCTTGTTTTTGTCTCCTTTAAAGGGGAGTAATAACCCTATCGGAGAAGGCAATGGCACCCCACTCCAGTACTCTTGCCTGGAAAATCCCATAGACGGAGGAGCCTGGTTGGCTGCAGTCCATGGGGTCACTAAGAGTCGGACACGACTGAGCGACTTCACTTTCATTTTTCACTTTCATGCATTGGAGGAAATGGCAACCCACTCCAATGTTCTTGCCTGGAGAATCCCAGGGACGGGGGAGCCTGGTGGGCTGCCATCTATGGGGTTGCACAAAGTCGGACACGACTGAAGCGACTTAGCAGCAATAACCCTATATCATGTAGTTTGAAGTGATGCATGTCCAGTTCTTGTTTTATACTACACACTCCATAGTTGGAGGCTGCTATGTTTGATAGGAGCATGATCTGGCCCCCACAGCCCTGCTCTAACTCAGTTCACATCCTCTTCTTCTCAGCTATCCTGACCCATTTGCTATTCCTCTATCAGAACATGCCCTCTCTGGCCAGCTTTTGGCTTCTGAGTTTGCTCAGGGTGGAATGTTGGCTGAAATACTTCAATTCTGGTGAACCCTGTAGTCCTTCGGGACTCAGCACACCTCTCCCCTTCTCCAGAAATTCGTCTCTGACCTCCCCAGGTTGGGTCAAGCTGCTCCTCAGAGCCCCCAGGAGCCCACACTTCTGTCACAGTTCAGTTCTTACTGCACCTTCGGGCAGGCTGTTGCTAAGTTCCTTGTAAGACCAGTAAACTCTTTCTGGGAGGTTAAGAAAGACCCAGGCCACTCCCCTTGTTCAAGGCTCTTCAGGAAAAGCATGAGGAGAAAATTGTGGTTTTCTTTCTTTCTTTCTTTTTTTGCTCTTACTGGCTGCATGTGACACTTTGTTCTCTCACCAGAGATCCAACCTGTGCTTCTCAGTGGAAGCACAGAGTCCTAAGCACTGGATGGCTAGGGAATTCCTATCCTGTATTTTAAAGGATAGGAATTTCATATAATATCCTATATATTATATAACTTAATATAATTTAATTATATTAAATTCCCATTCTGTTTAAAGGATTGGCAAGTCGTGGGTACCCAACAAATATTTTGTTGAATAAATATAACAAATTAGTAATGTTGACAGAGAAAAAGATAATGCAATAAAAATGTACTACTTGCAAATATGCAATTTGAAGTTTTATTTTAAAATGTGGATTCACATACGTTTGTTTGCATGAAGTTCTGTCACCCTGTGCATACCCTCATCTGGAGGAAACTGATAGTGGCCGCATGCCCATCCTGCTGAGGACATGGGAGCTTCTTGGGCAGGGGTAGGGGGGTCTGAAGGCCCGGCACTCAAAAGGGGGTCTCATCTTCCACCCCACACCCTTGGGGCGTCCGCCGTGCCAGCGCCGACCCCAGCCCCTCTCCTGCGGGTAGAGGTGGCTGGCCTCGCACGCCTCTCGCCGCCCCGCCCGCAGGCGGCGCTCTCGGGCCGGTCTCCCGCTGGGGTCGCGACGGGGCGTGCGCGTTCGAAGGGCTGCGTCCGCACTTCCTGGTAGCGGCGCGCGGAGTGACCGCGGGGTTATTGCGGGGTACGGCGGTCGGTGCTCGCTGCCCACACTTGTCCGTGGTCACCTGAGGCCGGGCGCGGCAGGTGTCCAGACGGCGACCTCGTCGCGGGTCTGGTCCGGCGCCAGCGCCTCGGACGCGGAGCGCTAGCCGGGAGTCGCCGTGCATCGGGTGAGTTGCGGGAATCGGCGCCCGACCTCTAGCCGCCGCTTCCCCACCGGGGACTCCGGGGCGCCGGCGGTACCGCGTCGCTCCCGGCTTCCTCGGCGGCACTCTGCGCTTCGGGGAGGGAGAGGAATTTCTTTCCCCAGGATTCAGAGGCTGGGCTTGTCTAGTCCTTGGAGAGGATGGGGGCCCTGAATTGAAAGCCGAGGACGCCCGAATCTGACCCGTCCGGCTGAGGGGTGGTCGTAGTCTTCGCGCCTGGGGTCGGTCCCGGGTTTGGGGCTCCGGGACTGGGGTGCGGGCATGGAACCGGTGGTCTGGGTTGGTCGTATACTCACACCCAGACGCTCCGCACCCCCTTCGCCGAGGAGAAAACTGTTAAACATTATGAAACAGTTGATGTTTTAGCAATAGTGTGACTTTCCTTCCTGGCACACACAGGTGGGCGTATAGTCGCGCACGCACCTGCTCGTGTGTTCTTTGGGGCGGACTTCGTTGGGCGTACAGTCTCCTGGCCCCCGGGCGTTGGGGACGGTACCCCGCGAGCCCCGGACACTGGGATTAAGGCCGAGGACTTTTCAGGCTGTTTGTTCCCAGAGACCGTGGTGTTCTGGTTGGTTCATCCGTGACGGTCATAGATGGCTCAAAATTCTCTCAATAACCCTCCGGAATTTGTAGTCTCAGTGAAGCTCCGTTTCTCACCTGGGCAGGTGGCAGCAGGGCCCGCCCACCGCATTCCGGAGGCGGCCGCGAGGACGTGGCCCGCGGAGGAAGGTTCAGCCGGGAGGAAACACGCTGGGTTCACTCCATTATTGCTTTGCTGGTGCAAATGACTCAGGTAAGGGCGGGGTTGGGGGGAAGAGTGTTGCTCAAACCCCAGAGATAAACCCACAGAGACTAGAATTGCAAAGGACTTAGGAATGAGTGTTTGGACCTCAGAATTGCTAATGGCTTCAGTTCAGATCATTTCACAAGTGCTTTTCAGATTATTCCTAAGCTTCTTCAATGACAAAACTACTAATTAACATATGCATTTTTTCCCCTTGACAGCCTCTAAGACTGGGTTGTCCTTGTGGTATCTCTAGAATTGAATTATTGGGAATTGCAGATGAGGAGCAGCCTGCCAGCTGTGAGAATCATTGGGCCATGGGAACCTGTGGTTTAAAAGCTGTTTAAAAGACAAGAGGGCAGTGAGAGGTGTAAACCTTGGTGGGTGCTTATTTGATGAAAAAAAGTTTAATTGTGCCAATAGGGGAAATTTGTACCCGTTATTTTATAGTATGAAGAATATTAGTTTTGTTTAGTTGCTTTAGGTAATGGTATACCGATTACAGTTTCTAAAAAACCCTTGCTGTTAGAAATACATTCTAAATTTGAAATACAAGCTCAGGATTTACTGCAAAATAATCCAGTTTGGGGGAGGGCTGCCAGTGGAGAAGTGAAGGGTAACAAGATGGAGGCTGGACATGAATTGTTAATAGTTGAAGCTGGATGAAGGGTATTGGGGTAGGGACTGCTTTGTACTGCTGACCCTACTTTTTTATGGCATTTTCCTTGAAAAGTAACACCACCTGTGGAGCTTTGTGTGTGTGTGTGTGTGTGTGTGTGTGTGTGTGTGTGTGTGTAAGACAGATTTGGAGGGTAACACTGATGATTCTAGATTCAAAGCCTTCCACAAGTGTTCACTGTTAACTTGGTGTAAAGGCTGTCTCTCCACTCAACAAGTCTTTTTCTTCCTCTGGGGGGTGCTGCTTTATTTTGCTGTGACGCCTACCCTATTTGCTGAGTGTGACAAAGCTGAGAGGATCAAGCTGATGCAGGTGGATGCTGGGTCAGCCTTTTTTTTTTATACAAAGAGTATTAGCAAGCCTGGGGGTTGAGCTGCCTCCAAACGGACAGGTTGTGTAAAATGTGTTAGCAGTTTTTCTGAACTGCCCAAATCCTTTCCAAGTTACACTCAACAACAAAAAAACAGAGCTCAGAGTAGTGAATAAAATCATACACACTTAGGGTTTGTGTACACTTCTGGAAGCACTAGAAACATCAATAAAAAGTCAACATTATGAAAACAAAAGTGAGTGGAGATTTACCTGTTATCTGAAAGAGATCCTATCTGTGTGTGTATCCTTTTTTCCTGTTCTCACCTTGTTTGCTTCAGGTATCATGAAGTGTAAATACTTAGCAAGAAACTTGTTTCTAAAATTTCTGCACTTTTCCAAGAAGCCTGTTTTCAAGAGGAGGGACGTGGGAAGTCATATCGATAACATTCATCCTACTTGCTTATTTTTACCCCTGCTGGATTTCTCCTATAATTCCTACTCATTCTGTCATGCCTGATTAGTAATTTGGAGAAGTACAAGGGAGCTATTAAAGTGGAGGAAAGGGAGGCATAGTCCTCAAAGATAAACCCACATTTCTCAGTAGCTTCTGTGGAACTGATTTTAATGCCTCCTTTCTTTTAAGAGAAAAAGGTCAAGTAAGTTAAATCTGTGATAGCTGAAACTTGAAGTGTTAGATGAATCCCTCAGCATAGGCCTTGCCCATATAGATTCACTAGGATGAAAGTTGTAAAGATGCTTTAAGTCAGGTTCTGTTGAGGAAATGCCAGAACACCTCCTAGTTTCCTTGTAGTGCATGAGAAAATGAAATCCCCTTACTGTTGGAGTGAATTCATGACGGTCCTTAGTGGAATTGCTTAGCTTGTGGTTTGGTTTTCTTTGTGTAAATAAAAGAACAATGCAACTGTTAAGTAGCTTTTATTTTCTACCTCAATTCTCTAAAACAAGAGCAGGGAGAGAGAAGAGAAACTCGCCACTCCCTGTGACCAGGGAGTGAACTAACTTTGCTCTCCTTGGTGAGAGGATGGTGGGTTTGGGTTCTGGAGAGCTGATTGCTAATAGCCATTTTAAGGAATTACCACAAATGTGACACCATCTTCTCCTTGCATAGTGTTATAAAAGGGTATAAACACACTGAAAAGCAAATTACATACCACTTTATTGGACTAGAAATGAGAGAAAAGGGTGTTGGCAATCTAGTCAGTAATCATCTTCTAATTTGTAAGCACTCTCCTCTCATCTCCATCACTTCATCCCATTCTGTAAGGAGGAGCAGCCGTGCTGGAGGATTATTTTCATTTTTAACAGATGAGAACGTTGAAAATCCAAAGAAGGGATGGCTTGCCAGGTGGTTTCTTTGGCGATATGGGGGAAGGAAATGTAATATTCGTTAGGAGGTCAAGTCGTCTTCACACATGTGTTTTTAATTCTCACAAAGCTCTTTAAATTGGATATTTTCAACCCATTTTGCAGATGAAATTGTAGCTAAGAGGAGTTAGTAGTTCACTTGAGGTCTGGCAGCTGAGAGCCAGGATTCAAACTTTGATCGGCTGGATCTTAGCGATTACGTTATTTCCAGCCTCTGTGCTGGTCCAAACTCCAGCAAACAGCAAAGCTTCCATCTCTAGAAAGTTGGTTGATTAGTTTAGGCAAGCTATCTTTTTTTTTTTTTTAACTTTCTGTTTTACGTTGGAGGATAGCCCATTAACAGTGTTGTGATAGTTTCAGGTGCACAAAGTGACTCAGCCTTACATATACATACATCCATTCTCCCCCAGAGTTCCCTCCCATCCAGCCTTAGGCAAACTGGTTTTTTTTGTGCCATACTGGTTAAAACTGGGGGCATGTGCCAATTGAGATGTTTTATCAGTCCAGTGCAGAGTTTGGGGGGAAAAAAAAATGAAGCTGAGCTAACATCGACAATTGAGAGATTTCAAGTATTCTGCCCCCAAAACTCCCAGAGGCAGTATTGGGGCAGCCCTCTGGAAAAGGTAGTGTACCCCAGGTGCCCCTGGGCTCCACCACTCCTTACAGTGGCCCCATCCTTGAGGCAGGGGACCATGGCACTTGCCCCACTGTTCTTACCCTAAGAGGTCTTCCTGTGTGTGCATCTACTCCACACGGAGACAGCTTGAGGGCTCTTGCCCCAAGAAAAGGGAAAGAGCATATTCCTTGGAGAGAGTGAAGACTCTTGTGTTTAGTCTGCAGCAAATTCTGTGACAGAAAATCCAAGGGGTGTCATCACTTTCCTCACATCCTGTCTGCGTTACTCATTTATACAGAATAGTTTACTGCCCCTACAGTACAGTAGAAATGGAGAACATATGAGGAAAAGAGAAATGCCTCCAGAATCCCAAACCACTGACTCTCTGTGGGTGGGAAGATGGGTCTTGGGCACTCTGCAGAGGTGGGCCACGAAGAAGCCCTCCCTCTTTAAGCAGCCTGACTTTGGCATCCACAGGGACTCTGAGCTTGTGCGCTGGCTCTTTGTGGCTGCTCTGAGGGGTTCCAGAAGGTACTCACTTCCCCATGCTGTGCCCACCCCTCTCCAGCTGGTGACAGGTCTGAAAGCTCCGCAGGCAGGAGGAACTGAGGCCCCCAAGGGTGGCCTGTAGGTCAAGGGACGGATATTCTCCCCCCCTGTCTACATTTGGAGTTTCATTTATATCTTGGTTTCCTTCCCCTGAACTCACTGTGTGTGGCTGTGGGAAGGTGTGGGTGTGTGGACGGGGGTGTGGTGGGTGAGGCGGAAACGTGACTAAAGAGGAAATGCAGATGGAACCTTGTGGAGTGGTTTTGTTTTTTTTCTTTGGAGTGGTTTTTGAAGAAACGGCAGATGATGTTTGTTTTGAGACCTTTGTCGCTAGAGCTGTCAGCCTAGGTGTGTGCATGCCCCAGTGTGAGAAGAAACATGGGACGGGGGGTTGCTGCTTGGTGTGGTTGAAAGAAGCGGTTAGAGGCCAGTGGGTTGCTCACATCCTTTCTGGAGAGCTCTGGGATTCAGGTGCGTGGGTGTGTCCTCAGAATGGGGACCTCTACTCCCTGGCCAACCAGAGCAAACAGGTGAGGTCAGGCGTGGCGCCCCTGAGTGCGCTCTTGCCAGGTCGCTGATGTCTGCCTCTCCCACCACCTCCCTGTGTGACCTTGACCTGTTCTGCTTTTTTTTAACCACTCCGCCCTTCAGCCTTCTTCTGTGTAAAATGTTAGTGCTCATAATGCCCATCTCACGGGGCTGCGAGGGTGAGGTTGACTTTTTGCCATTGGAGCCCCGTCTTCTTTGCTTTTACCTTTACATGGGGGATTTTCCCCCCAGAATTTTAGAAGGCAGGCCGCAGGGTAGGAACGAGTTCCAGCTCTGACCTCCCTGTTTCCAGAGGGACCCTGGCCTGCCTCGTGGCCTCGGGAAACGTTCTCCGTGACAGATGTCAACAAGGGCTTTGGTGGAGTGGAGCAGCAGCCTTGGAACTGATGATGAGAACACGACCAGGACCCAGGGCCAAAGCCCTATTGTTTGGAAATTAAATGCACTCCGATTCTGGAAAGGAGAGGAGTCCCCTGGCTCCCCCCTCACTGAGGAGGAGCAGGCCAGGCAGGGCTCACAGACACCTGAGTTCTGTCCAGTACCTCGTCTGTCCGTCTGTCAGCTGGGGAAGCGCGCTCATGGGAGTATTTTTCGAGGAACTGACAGAAATGTGATGAAATCTTGACCCAGGCCCAGTGAAGTACTGTCTCTGATTTGCCCTTTTGTGATGAAATCAAAAGACCAAGCACCCCGGCAGGTTTACTTTTAACCTGGAGAAAGAGATGCTGTTAATCTGTATTTACAGAGCATTTTGTAGTTTTAAAAGGGCTATCTAATTTGATCTTTGACCAGTGGTATGGGGTTATTTGTTTGCATTTGTTTCTGTTACCTTTTGCTCTCAGGAGGCATACATGAGGGAACTGAGGTTTAGGCCAGAGATGGAAACAGAGGACTGGGCTAAAGTTCTACTTTATCAGA